TTGAAGGAGGAAAGTTCTACCAGAAGCAACAGGAATTTGCTGCAAGACAGGCATATGTAACGATGACTTAGCGCTCTTAAACTCGTGTGTCATTAAATATAGTTCTCCTGACAACAGGCCAGCGAAAAATCTAACAATCTACAGCAAAACCATCAATTATTATGGGCGTTATAACATAGGTGTGCAGCTGGACGAAACATTGACGTTGAACCCCCGCAGACGATTTAAATACCTTGACGAAACATACACGTCAAACCACGCTGAACGGTTAATGAAGACAACAATAGCAGTGGGTGATAACGGTAATTAAAGTCAAATCCAGAATACCCTTGGAATCCTGGTGGGGCCCATCCTTTCAGTGAGGTCTCAGTGGATTGATGATATGAGTCACCCTATGTCAAGAAACATTCTGCACCAAATCCTGTCCTTACACTTTTCTTCATTGAAGAAGACTGGCTGTTGGTGGCAGGAACTAATAAATACCATGAGTACAAGCAGTATTTAGGTTCAGTGGCAGGATGTGGTCATGACTTCCTAACATGACTATACAGGAGACGCTCATCTTTTTTGGCTACAATAATACAGATGGGTCATGATATTAGGGACACATTGAAAGATACTGGTGCACTCTTGAATGCTCCCATACCTAATTTTACAGTAACATGACAAAGTATGGCCAATTTTTTTTTTTGACAGTATGAATCAACAAGACGACAACTGTGACAGAGACTGGTAAATTAGATCGTTAATTGAAACGCTGACTAACAGCAGGCTTTTGAGATTCCATGTTCATCACAGAATTTGTCTCTTGTTTTTGTTTTGTGCATATTCACCAATGTACATGTCTGTTCAAACCATTGGTGTCAAGTTACCTCTTATTGTAGTCTGAATGTCACTCTGATTCAGTTTGTGTTTCACTGTCTTACTGTTCTATTGTCGTGTTGTCCTTCTGGCATCCTTTTTATGATTTTGTCTTGACGGTTTGACAACAAATGCTTGTACCTGGGTGCTTGGTGTCAAGTAAATCTGGAGGAAAAAATATAAAGTTTTGTCACCTACCCCATCTTCTCTCCTTGTGAGTCTTCTCACTATCACACGTGCATCTGTCATTGTCTGTGTTGCATTTGTGTGATTTTTTTACATTGGTTTTGTAATTACAGTCCATAATGTCATATCTTCCCACCATCACTTATGCCTCAACTACAAACATGTAATTTAGTTTAAGGATATAAAAACAATGAGACCTGAAGGTCAGTGTGTGTGTTTGAAGTGTCTGAAATTCATGATGGTGTCTCCCCCCCCCCACACACACACACACACACTAACAGCACTACGAGCATTACAAACACATGGGACAGGTTGTAACTAGAATCTGATTCTTTTTTCAGGCTAAGAATTTTTGCTGTGCTGGGTGTTTGTAAGTAATTCATAGCAGGAAAGCATAATGAAGTCTGTGTAGAGGAGTGGGAATTTATGTGGCCTTAGTTACTGTAGGCTTGCTGTTAATAACAGGATATTTTTTTTTCCCTGTGGTGCTACAGCCCCAATTTGGGCCTAGGCCTACCTCCATGAAACTCGCCGTTTCACTTCGGTTTACTAGATCTTACACTTACGGTAGGACTCCTTGGGCGAGTGATCAGCTCGTAGCAAGGAACAGGATATTTTAGCATAATGGTATTTTAACAGTCAGCCAGTTGAACTGTGTGGGTGAGCAATCGCAGTTGTGTGACACTTGACCAATAAAAGTTAAAGAAGAACATCTCTTGTTCTCCAGGCTTGTGCAAGAGCAGTTGGGATCTGTGCTCGCAGCCACTTAGAGTTGGTGTTACTTAAATTAGAGAAGATGAGAAAGGAGGAGCTGATACGCAAATCTTCTCGTCTTCTTAACTTCATGAAGGATGTGAAGCATGAGGTTGAGGTGGAGCGAGTAAGACTGACACTTTTGCTGTGTTATGGTGAGGTGGCACTTCAGGCCTCAGACACGCAGTTGCTGCCACAGCTGGAGCAAGGTGTTGCACAATGGGTGCTTCAGCAAATGCAGACTGCTAAGGTGAGTGCTGTATGAGTTACAGGCTACTATTGAATGCAAGCAGTATTTATATTGAAATAAAATATTTGTTCTGATGGGCTTATAGTACCACTGTCTTACAAGCAAGTAGTGGATCATTGCAGAAAACTTTACTAAATTTAAAATATTTTTATGAAAAAATTGTGTAGTGATCTGTTCTGAATTGGATTTGATTAATTACTGGTTTATCTTGAGTCATCCTTGTCAGCAGAATTCGGAGGGCTCAAACTGTCATCCCAGAATTGTCATGAGTGTAGTTGCTTCCCAAAGGTGGGCTGGGAATCGAGATAACTAGTGGTGTGTAATAAAACAAGAACTAACCCCAGCAACTAAAAAGGGAAAATTGAACTGGGAACTGAAACATCTGGGACATATAGCTTTGAAACAGACAGGCAGTTGCATGAAATGGGTAGCAAACTATGTGAAAGAGCACTCGTGTGACATCATAAAGAAAACAGAACAATATAATACAGGGTTATTCATAAGTTCCTGAAACATTTTAAAAATTCACAACACATAAACTATGCATCAGATCATCGTAATTCTTATGCCAATAGAGAATGAATCTCTCCAAGTTTTTTTAAAAGCCTCCATTGCCTGCTAATCTCAGGGATCTTTGCAACTGTATCACCGCTGCTGTGACTCTGGTCATCCGTGATATGCTGACACGGGTGTGGGATGAAATGGATTATTGCATAGATGTCTGCCATATCAGCAAAGTACACTACAGCTGAACAAAAGGATTGGATTACAAAAGAAAATAAACTCACTTAAATTACTGCCCCTACAACTAGGATGCAGCATAGTTTTGGCTTATATACAAGTGATAAAAAAGGTAAAGATGTTCCTATGCTTAACTAATTAAGTACTACACTCTGAAGCCATATGGGGAAGTGGATGTATAGAACCACATTTTCTTGACCTCGGCACTAGCTGGAGGGGAGTGGTCAGCTTTATGCCCAAGGAAAGAGTTCCTGGTACCCATTGGATAGGAGGTTGGGTGACCCCAGAGCCAATCTGGATGACGTGGAGAAGAGAAAAGTCTTGACCCTACTGGGACTTGAACTCCAACCTCTTGGTTGTCCAGCCTGTAGCCTGTTGCTATACCGATTATGCTATCCTGTCTCCTTGTATACAACTGATGCAAGTCCTAAACTGACTTAAAGCTGTGTAAGATTTGAGGTTTTTGTTGTGGTGACTATGAAGAATGCCATCTTATGGGTTGTGACGCTGTGTAGATCTTGTGTGGACCGACGTTTTGGAGGACCATATCGCCTCCATCTTCAGCTTAGAAGAATTCGTGGCTGCAGCCACCTGCTCTTGCTGGTTCCTTGCTTGCAGATTTTTCTACCCCAAAGATGGAGGCGATACATTCCTCCGAAACGTCGGTTCACACAAGATCTACACGACACCACATCCCAGAAGATGGCTTTCTTGACTTAGAGCTCTCAGTTGCTCATGAAAAACATAACATGAACCTACAAAGGATAACAGAGAAAATACATATAAGAAATGAAAACTTGACATATAAAACTTGTGCATATGTGTATATGAAGGATGTTATAGCATAGTTAGTTGAGGCACTGTGCCACAAACTTGAAGGTCATGAGGTTGATTCCCTGTGAGGTCATTTGATTTTCCAGTGGACCTAATTCTTCCAGCTGCACTATGGCCCTGGGATCGACTCAGCCTCTAACAGAAATGATTACCGGGAGTCTTCCTGGGGGTAAAGGGCAGGTGATGCATAAGGCTGACAGTCTCACTGCCATCTGTGAGCTGAGTGTCTAGAAAATATGGGAGCCTCATCTCATGACCCTATGGACCTCCATGGCCTTTTACAGCAATAGCTTTACATTTTATGAGTACTCACCATACACTTACCACACCCATGCACACAAACAGATGAGGCCCCTTCACTAGACCCTGGTCACATCTCATCCAAACAAAAGATTTCCAACAACCAAGGCCGAGGCAGAATTTAACTGATGATACTTGTCCAAGGTCTGGCACACAAGAGGCACACGGACAGGGCAGTGACTTAGTAGGAGGGTGATGGTGATGAAGAAGGACTGTAAAAGGATAGATGGTTGGCCCAGAAGGATGAGGCGATGCATGATACTGTCACATGATTGAGTGACTTTAGATGGGGTTTGGATTGGTAATTTGATTTATTGAATTCTTACAGAACATACCTACAAATAACTATAGTGCTAACACTAATTCACACACTCTGCAGTTCACTATAGCATAAAGTCTTCTGAGTTTGCTGTATCTTCTCTGGTTGTTGTGTGGTAATGGCTTCCAACATCGTAGCTTTCTCATCTTCCAGGTTTATATCCTTACTGGTCGGCAAATGTCTCACAACTAACTCATTGTTCCAGTTGTCCTGCTTATAACATTTTGGCATGGACTGCATAGAAAATGCTGTTCCTCTGTTGCTGTTCAAATACTGCTTACTGGACCATGCAGAAAACACTATTCCTCTGTACAGTCACCTATCTCATGGTTGCCACATAGCAATTGGACTGCATGCCCCAATTTATTGGAGGTGACAGAAAGGCAAGGTTATGTTGCATCATGCCAAAGAGAAAGGGATGTCCAGTGACTGAAGAGAGCATAGAGAAAATTGAGCTTAGAAGGGCTCAATCTAATGACATGTCTTTGGTTATTTAATATAAAATTAAAATTATTGGATGACTATGAATGATAAATAAGAAAGGAAGTTACCTTGGCCTAATCTAAGGTACTATCCTCACATTTGGAGGAACTGAGAAAAACCATAAAAACTGCTGTCAGGACAGCCAGCCTCTGGGGCAGTGTTTGAACCGAGGAGTTCCTGAATGTGAAATGTGATTGGTGATAATTTGACCACAATGTTGGGTTAATGTACATTTCAGAAACCTAGGTTTCCAGCAAATGAACACAGATCTACATGTGTACTGGAATTTAAATTTTAAAACTCTGTATTTAAAAGCTTAAATAAACATTTATATCGTGGTAAATAGTAATACCAAATTGAAATTTTTCATGTATGATTCAAGGTTCTCACAGCGGTGATTATGAAGAGTTCTGTCTTCTGGGATATAATGCTGTATAGCCCATTGAAAGTCAACTAACTGCCTGCCACCTGCTTTCCCACTGGTTTCTTGCTGAAGAGGGTAGCATCATATTCCTCTGAAGCGTCGAGTGATGTTCAACAGACTACATGGCATTATATCCCAGAAGATATAATTCTTGAAATGTTTAAGTTGAAAATAATTGAATGTAGATATTTTGTCTAGGATTTGAGTTTCTTGCAGTGATGGTTATGTACAGTACTATCTTCTGGGAGGTTAACAGACTGCACAGTATTGTTTTACACATCATTAAGTTATTGAAATTGGCTTGTGTTAGTAGTCTGTGTTCAAGATAGTGTGCTTTAATGCTTTGAGTAATTATATTATTTCTGAGGATGAACCTTCCATTACTTGTTTCTTACATTTATATATGTGCATAGTATTAGAGAACTGTTGTGGTGTATCTTGATGGAAAGTCATTGAACCAAACTAACATGTTGGTTGTTATGTAGGTATTGATTATATTTATATTATACATTGATTATGAAAAGTTGTTAATGCAACCATTACTGGATATAAAGAGCCATCTCAACACTGCTTTGTTTTCATCCCATCAGCGATATATATTTTTTCTAGAATGATAGAATGAGTGATCAGTGCAAACAGTTATGCTCACTCCAGCATTATTAAGCAGTTGGCTATTTATTCTAAGCTTTAAACTTCGGTTAAGAGCATAGTATAATATGTGTATGAATGACTGAGTACAGTGAATGAAAAGAGGTCAAAAGTATATGAATCATTATAAAAAACAGTACTGGTATAGACAGTGTCATGTAACTTCGAACAAGGCCCCACATTCCTAGTCAAATCCTGCGCATAACTTGTGGTGGTAGGAGTTTCTTAACACTCGTTCTTCCACTTTCACTGACCCCTCGTGTTTCATTGAAACTACCCTATTCTCTTTCGAAGAATATATTACAATAATACAAATATATTTCTTACTCATTATGTACGATTTAGCGCACAAGGAAACTGACGTTTTAAACAGATGATAGAAAAACTGTAAGTATAACCTGCTTCGAAGGTGCCTTACAAACAACTGGCCGCCTGTCACTTCTCACACCCTTGAACCAACCCCCTTGTCTGAAATTTTTCTTCTTCACATTCAAGGTTACTCTTGGCCTTGTCCGAAGTTACGTGACACTTGCTATAATAGCATAAGAAGTTACACAACAAATGTTGTTATGCCCCAAATGTAATATGGGGGGCATCAACATTATGTTTTTGATTGTTAAAAAGATTTCATGCTGACACAAGGTCCGTGTTTGTGAAACGCAGAAGGCAAACAGCCTGGCAAATAATGCTTTGGCTCAGCACAGCCGCGCTGACAACGTGGAAGCAAGCGCTCATAAAGGTAAAACACTGGGAAGAATTAGAAATGCTGAGTAGACAGAAGCTGGCAGAACGTGATTCGCCGCCGTGAAAAGTAATTAGCCAATGAGCACTAGCCACCCTTAGAAATAGCGTCAGAAAAGGGTGGGAGCTCACCCTCCCGGAAGTTGATGAACCGTCAATTTCAGCATACAAAAGATCGAAATTGGAACTATTCGAGGCTAATCAAACAATCATTTCAAGGAGTGTAGCCGGAGGCTATGTCCGTCATGGCACTGACAAAGTGGTGGTTGGTGATCTGCATCTCTGTCTCAAGTAAGTCAAACTACTCATGTTAACCATGAAATATAAAGTGATATTATTAAAGTGCAAACCCAGTGACTAAAATGAGCAACAGAACAGGCTAGGGTACCATGTGTCAGTACAGGAGGGATAACGAATATATGTGAACCTTGAGTGACCAGACAGCAGTCTGCATTCATTACTGTATATATGTGTATGTAGATACTAGACGAATAGAGTAGGATGGAAGAGTGGAGAACTTTATTGGTGCAACCCGTTAGGCTCCTTCCCCTTACTGCTCCTGCGTTACCCTACGTTTTATGGGAAATGTGAGCTCGCAACCAGGGAGCAACAACAGTCCATACAGGAAGAATAAGCCGGAGGAAGGGCAGAGGCTCCTGAGGGACAGGAGCCAACAGAGAGTAGACTACTGTGAACTAGTAGTTTTCGTAATTACTAAATGCCCCCCTTACAGCAGAACAATTGGTGGCAGCGATAAGATTTAGAAGAGCAATAAGCGTGTCTGCCTCGTTGGGGCACAACAAGTGGTGGCAGAGATAGAATTAGCCAAAGAGAGATGGCTGACATAGTAATTTAGTATTTTGTTTAACCACCCCTGTCATCACGGTATTACAAATATAAAATTTCGAAAGTTGCAGGTTATACTATTGAAAAGAATAGTCTTAGTGTTATAGCATGTAGAGCCATTACTATGTGACAACTGCGAGGTAAGCAGATATACCAGAATCATTTCTAGGCAGCGGCTCAGTAAACATGTTCTTGCAGTGACAGACACAAACGCAACAGTGGTGCAGCAACAGAGGAATGGTGTTTTCTATGTTGTCTGTGCCAAGATGTTATAACGGGGATGGTTTGGGGCAACTAGTTAGTTCCAAGAGTGCTCAGTTGAAAGTCCAGCTGTGAATAGGAGACTTTATGTGTGATATTTGGAGTGTGTAATTCAGTGAGACTGTTGCAGTTCCTGTGTTAAAATCCTTTTCCAGGTTATGGCTATTTGAGACTGTAATAGACGGAGGACACTAGTCTGTGTGTGTCAGTGATCCGTAAAGTGTAGCCATGGGTCTTGAGTGTGTAAGTGGTCAATAAATCGAGTCACAAATCCAAACCCCATCTATAGTCATTCCATACTTTGTGACAGTATGATATAATGATTAATAAAAGTTATGACTAATAACTTCTTTCTGTTTGAGAGTTGCATTTATTGTGTGGTTCCGAATTAAGCTATGATGCACTAGTGAATGAAGAGGACTTTGAATAATCATAGGCTCTACGGTGGTAATCAGGTTCAGAAGAATTGTTTCTGATGAATCATAAATCTTATATAACACTGCATATGACTGCATTTGATTACAAGAATAAAACAGATTGATAGCCTAAATATGCAGAAAGAAGTAAACTTATAATATGTTATAATTATATGTCATTTAGTGCTAATTATGATGCTTCATTCATGATGAAACAGTTTGATATTACACTGTAGTTTTGATGGAAACACTTGATTACTAAAATAAAGTTACATTTACAGAAGTTGTGTACTGCTGATACACAGTGTTATATGGTTAGCAAACGTCGCATGAGCCTAGGGTTGCAATAGTGATGATGCATTATTTTGTTTATCTTGCAGGATGCATCAGTTAGAGAAGCATCACTCAGAACACTTGGCAACATTGCAGAAGCACTTCATCCTAATCGCAACACACTGCATGTCATTCTTCAGAGTCGTAATGAAATGCTGAGTCAGACATTGAGTCAGCTGCATCCTCAGTACAGCAACACTGGCCCTATCAATAGACGACTTGAGTTATATCCCATTGTTCTGCATGTTGCAACAGCTCTTATGTATCCTTTAGAAATATATAGTAGTGAGGGTCGGATAAATACATGTGGTTGGGTGGTCACCACGCCTGTTTTTTGTTCAGAAAATCAGAGAATTAACTTTTGCCTTAGATGCCAATTTTCCCGACTGAGGGGCATTTCATTGTATTTTGAACTAGACCATGATTTCTTCTTTCCATACTTCCATGGATCTTAAAGAAAATAGATTTTGGGCATAGATTGGTTTTAGATTGCTTAAGACAGATTTTTGGCATGGATTGGGTTTGGTTAGCTTAGGACAGAGTCAGTTGATGGGCTTTTGTGAATTGCAGCTGTTAACCTGGAAATTTGTTGAGCAACTGGACTGCTGTCAGTTTCTCAGGCATAGCTGTGCTCCATGAAGTTAGTTATTACTGCGATGATCTTGAAAAGTCATTTGACTACAGCCTTTGGACTACTCATACAACTGTAGAAGTGCAGCTTTGGAATTGTTTTTCAAAACCTTAGTTGTGAAATTTAAGTAAAATAGTAATTGTTCAGAGTGTTTATTTTATTGATTTTATGGGAATGGTTGATGCGTTGAACATGAAATTTGGTCTAGTATGAAATAGGAACCATGTTTACAGATTTACATAAAACTTTGTTCATTTAACTGCTCCACTTTGTTGACTGTGCAAAACATATATATTTGGAATTTGTATTTTAAAAGTATGTAACAGGATAAATACATTCAGTGCAGATAACGTTTGTGTTCAGAAATTGGTATGTAAGCAAAAGCATGCATTATAATTCTAAGAACTGGTTGCACATGACCTCATTCTTTAAACTTCCTGGTGAACATTACAAAATTATAGCATTCCTGCCAGAGGATACTTGCCAGTAATGAAATTATTACAGATAGATTCAGTCAGCGTAGGTAAAAAAATATTTTGTATCAGAAACTTACTTCACAAAGTCAGGTCTTATTAGCATTTTGAGTTGGGTGATTCCTTGACAAAGTTGTAGTAAATTGCCACCATCTCTGACAGCAGCAGAACGAGTGTCTGTCCTGAAGACTTGTTTTGACAGGGTATACACTGCTGTAGCTCTCATGGAAGAGGACATCAATCCTAATGAATCTCCTGGTGATATTAACAACAGTGTGGATGTGGGGTGGGCAGATCATATGAATCTCATCCTAGACTGCCTAGGTTAGCAGCGTTTATCATACAGTATGTGAATTATTGCCCCTGGCAAATTTTAATTGTTGGTATTAAGTCAATTACTTTGCAGTTTTAAAATCTCTTTTATTGCAAAGCATGAAGGAAAAGTAAGTAAAAGTACAGGCATTACAATGAAAATAAAATTGAAATTATTACATGTAAGGATCTTTTATATACAGGGTGATTCACAAAGATTTACTCCCACTTAAGGAGGGCATTCCTGAGGTAATTTGGAACAAAAAATTTTAAAATACTAATGGTATGCAACTCATAATTAAAGAGGTACAGTAATTTGAAAACTGGCGAAAAATCTTTTTTTCTTTGAATTTCAGTCAAAACAAGTTAGAAATAGAATACAAACACTTTTTAAATCGTTAGTGTTTTAGGAAAGAAGCATTCTAAAACCAATTTCTTCTTCAATTTCTTAATTTTGCATTGTGAAACATTTTTCATCGAATTTATGTTACAAAATTACATTATTTTCAGCATCCCATTCTGTAAATATACCAATGGTTGCATATCACACCATTCTGTCAATCTGTTTCCTTTAAACTGTAGTGCTTTAGAAGACGACTGGATTTACATAAGAGTTTCAAAAATGTCTCCCTGCACATCAACACGTGTCGTACATGTATGAACCTCGCTCGTAGCATTTCGCAGTTCCACATGTTTGTTCCTTATTGTCATCGCTGCGTCCAGAATACGCTCAAGCAATGCTTCACGTGTTTGTACCTTTACCTGGTACACAATGTCCTTCATCCAGCCCCAAATGCAATAATATAATGGCGTTAGATTTGGCCACCTGGGAGGCCAGGCGTTACAGCCTCCACGACCAATCCACCGCTGTGGGAAATGCCGATCCAAGTGAACTGCCACTGCGCGGGAGAAGTGAGGAGGCGCCCCATAATGCTGAAAGTACATCCAGCACCTTGTTGCCAGAGGAACATCTTCAAGTAACTGTGGTAATTGTTCTTCTAAGAAGTGGAGGTAAATCTCACCAGCTAAGTGGCCAGGAAAAATGAACGGCCCGATTAGCTGATCATACAGAACACCACACCAGACATTGACATTGAATCAGTGTTGAAAATTTGATTCTATCGTGGCACGGGGATTATTGTCTGCCCAAACCTGTAAGTTGTGACTGTTGTTGACCCTATCCCATGTAAACTGTGCCTCATCGCAGAACATTATCAAGTGGTACAACTGCCGATTTCCATTTAACCAGTTGCAGAACTGCAGACGAAGAGCATGGTCTCCTGGTTGTAGGTGTTGTACTTGCTGTAAATGATAAGGATGCAGCCCGTTCTCATGAAGAGTCCTCCACGCCATGGACTGAGAAACACCGAACCGCCGAGCTAGACGTCTTGTACTGGCACGCGGACTGCACTCTACAGCATCAAGAATGTTTTCTTCTTTGCACAATTCATGTTGAGGATTTCGTTCATATTGTATACGAATGCTGGGGAGAGAACCAGTTTGTCTTAATGTGTTGAATGTACTGCTAATGGATTTAGGATTCGGAATCCTGTGATTAGGATAACGCCGGTGATATTCGGCAGCAGCGTCTCTTGCATTTTCATCACATACATCCAAGACAAACACCATATCGGTGTATTCCTCAGTGGAAAATGTGTACGGCATTTTAATTCACAAAGTCACCAGCACAATGTCCTGTTTAGTACTGGATCGCTCTGCTTAGGATCGCTAGCCGGTCTGCCTTATATGCTAACACAGCTAATTGGAACGCAAGGTTATCCAGGAGGGAAGCTTAGCGCTGCATTCACAATGCTGTGTTTCGAAAATCTTTTGTTACTCTGTAACTATCGAAAATTGACCACAAGTTTATAAGGAAATTTTGCAGGAAATAACCCCAGGAAAATGTACCATAAGCTGGGGTAAAACTTCGTGAATCACCCTGTATGAATCTGCTACCTAAAATAGTATGGGCAGTCAAATGAAAACGGATCACCACGCATAACTCACACAGGGCGCAAGTTGGTAACACTGGAATTTGCTTACAGTATGAACATCTAGTGGGGACTAGGGAAAGCGCAGTGACAACTTGCCCTTGCACACTAGTCGTTTGTTTATTGTGCTGGAAGTAAGGTTAACGCTATGTGTGGTCGTCCAACATCAGTAATGGAGGCAGATAAAGAAGAACAGTGAAGTGTAGTGCGCTTTTTGACTACTAAAGGAGTAGGAGGATGAGAAATTCATTGTCACATGTCTGTTGTTTATTGCAAACGCAGCATGTCACATTCATGTGTGCTGACGTGGCATAAGAGATTCCAAGAAGGACGTGTGTCACTGCAAGATGATGCTCGCCCAGGACAGGCTCATTGTGTCCATCATTACTGATGTTATTGCAAACCGACGGATCACTGTGGAAGAAATTAGTCTTTTGATGGGAATGAGTCACAGTTCCGTACACACCATGGTGACAAAACACCTGCTGTACCGCAAAATCTGCGTGCAGTGGGTTCCACATCAACTCATGGAGGAATAGAAGACTTGGAGAATGGCTGCATCGCCGGGTCACTTGCAATGATACCATGAGGAGGAGTATACTTTTCTGTCCTGTATTGCCACTGGGGACGAAGCTTGGTGCCACCATTTTGAACCCGAGAGCAAATGGCAGAGCCAACAATGGAAACACGTGAATTCTCCCCCACTGAAGAAATCCAAAGCTGTACAAGCAAGTTCCGGTAAGTGATGATGACGTTCTTCTTCGACTCCAAGGGCCCTCTGCTTGTCGAATTTCTCGAGCAAGGGGCTCACAATCAGTGCACAGCCCTATGAAGACACTTTGAAGAAACTGGAACATGCCATAAAGTCAAAATGCCCTGGAATGCTATCGAACGGCATTATCCTTCTTCATGATAATGCGCGCCCCCACACTGCCAACTCTGTGAGGAATATGCTACAGAGATTTGGTTGGGAAGTGCTTCAACATCCCCCCTACAGCCCAGATCTCTCCCCATGTGATTTTCACATTTTTGGAGGCCTGAAGAGAGACATTCATGGACATCGGTTTGCATTGGACAAAGACGTGTGTGGCTGGGTAAAGATGTGGTTCTGTACACAGCCCACAAGCTTTTTCAAGGATGGGATTGACCAGCTTATCTCCTAGTGGTGTACATGTATTAACAGTTTGGAGATTAGTTTTTAGGTAAGAAATGTTCTTTAATATTGTGGCGTATTGGCTCTATGCAGGAACTGTTGAGCCACAGAGGCCTCGGGGCATGTGCACAATGTGAGAGTTGCGGATTGTATTGGTGCATTGCTAGGCGACAACTCTGTGAATGCATTGATTGCGCAACAGGAAGTGCGAGTGATGTCACATACCCCACTCATCCCATAACTATGCAATGCTCAGTAAACACCCCTCCCTGCTAGGCTGTGACGTCACGCAGCAGGCAACTCCGTGCAGAGACTATTGCTAGGCAATTGGTAAAAACGACATCATGCAACAGTGATAGCTATCACGTAACTGTTTTCTGTGTTGTCAGTGCAGAAGTTACATAACGAGGAGTATTCGTCGGTGTTGAACCAGAGAGAGAGAGAGAGAGAGAGAGTGCCAGTTACTAGAGAAAGAGTAGCTGATGTTGAATATGAGTATCCAGTATAAGTTGAATTCTTGAGACAGTCGCCGTTGAGAGTGGGAACCCAGCATTTTCCGAGAGATAGTTGAACAGCAATTGTGATACTGGATAGTATAAGGTTAACATTGGATAACTGTGAATTGTGTAAGTGTAAGAGCGAATGTACAATAAATTCGCTAGATCCAAAACAGTGTGAAGTTATTTGTCGCATCACTCACGCAACACGTAACAACATGTTTTGGCTTCTGACCCGTTTTTATTTGACTGCCCCTCGTACAATCCAGCTGTTTTCTCTGCATGACATATTCTTGTTAATTGTCCTATGATGAATCTCTCTTTTCCCATAAGCCTTTCTCTTGTATGTGCATCTGCTCTTTCTTGCTCTGTTTTGTCGCTCCTCTCACTTGAACATTCCACCCTGTCCTTGGTCTGCTGATTTGATAGCTTATCCACTCTCATTATTTGTATATACCAAAAGGATCTTGTCTTCTGTTTGTAACAATATGTCTGTACCACTGTATCCTTAATTTGAAAGACTTTTTCTTGTAATGAGATTTGAATGGCATTACTACTTCCATCTTTTGTATATCATCCTGGTATTTCATTTTATCCCTTGCTATTTGTTTAATTTTATCCCTTATTATTCATTTTATTGGCTTCATATAGTGCGATTAGGAAAGAAACACGTGTGGCTGATTGCATTATCTGGAATGAAAATAGAATTATCTGAAGGCTCTTTACTACTTAAGGATATTTTATTTGTAATTTTGAAAGTATTTTAAGTTAAGCCTTCCAGTAAATGTTGATACATGTTCAACTTAATTTTACATATTGTCACTTCTTAGAATGACTCAACGTGGTTTTGGATTGGAGATTGGATTTATTGACATCTTTAATACATGACTCATGACTGCTCTTAATTATGGCAGTCTCACTGAATTACACACTCCAAATACCACTGTAACTACAGTGCACATGAAGTCTTCTCAGCCTTCACTAATTGTTTCCTGGCAATGGATTTTAACAGACTAGAGATTCTTCAGCTTCTGTGCTGACTGTACTGACTAAGTCTTCTCGACACAGACTCCCTTGCAATTCTTTTAGTGCTTCAACTGACTAACTCCAAGGCCACCTGCTGTTTCACAACAACCTCATAGTCTTCTCTTCACAGCCTGACTTTCAACTGAGTGTAGCTCGGCTGGTGTCCTTGTTATATAAACCCTTTGCATGGACCGAGTAGAAAACACCGTTTCCAGCAGTTCCTCCACTGTTGTAGCTCAGCTGTGGCTTGTTAAGAATTTCTTGCCTGGCAATGACTGTTGCCCTGTTTGTTTTGCGGTCTCTGCCTAGAAATGGGTTTATACACCACAATATAAACATTTTTATTAAATTAAGAAAGAAACATTATTGCCCAAAGATTTAATCAGTGATGAATTGTGTATCATTGTTAAGTCTTGTATTTGTATTTTAGGTTCACTGGTCCAGGAACTTCTTCTGGACTCCGTATCTCCTGCCACACTTGATGACATCTTTACACTTCTGGAACCATGGCTAATCAAGAAAAGCTCTCAACAGAGAGCAGCATCTATTAACACGCTCCATTCTGTTTTGCAGTGCTACCTGGATAATGTAAACTTTTCATATGAGGTGACTACCTGTCCTTTCACAGTCTGAAGAAAAATTAGCTTCATATTTATATTAATTTACTGTATTATAAATATGGCAAATATGATGACAGTGATCACAATATTAAGCAGCAATGATGATGATGTCGACGATGATGATGATGTAATTTGAAGAAGTAAATATTGGAGTGCTGGTCACGGTAGCTGAGCGGTTTAAGGCGTGCACTGTCTTTGCTCGATAGGAAGCCAGGATCATGGGTTTGAATCCCACTCGGCATGGATGTATGTGTGCGTTTTTCTGTGTTTGTGTACAGGTAGAGGCCTTGCGACGAGCTGATCACCCGCCCAAGGAGTCCTACCATATGTTTAAGATCTAGAAAAACCAAAGTGAACGGAGAAGTTCAGGGAGGTAGGCCTAGGCCCACTGGTGCTGTAGTGCCAAGGAAAAAAAAAATTAGAGTATCTGATGTCATGTGGTGCATGAAATTCAGTGTGATTCAATATATATAATTTTTTAATTCTGTGGCCCTCTTAATGTGTCTTGTGGAAGAGAGAATTTCTCTTTTGAGTTTTCCAATTTAACATTTTCAGGCTCCTAGCAAGTTCAGCCAGTCTGGCCTGATTCTGGGACGAGTGGTGCCACGATGCACAGACCCCGGTATGGCAGTGAGGCAGGAAGCTGTCATTTGTGTGCAGTTAGTGCTTTGTTTGGCAGCACTTTATGAGGGTTGTGTGGCAGACCATGATAATGACTGTGCAAATGACCTCTCACAAATTCGAGACAAGTTTCTGACTGAAGATCCAAATGAATTGTTCAGAGTTACAAATGAATTAGCCAAGGTGAGAAAGTTGTCAGTAATAGCCAATACATTTATCCATCATCAACTGAGGAGATTATGTTCCTGAAAATTCCTGTGATTCACAAAACTGCAGGTGGCAACACCAAGCCCTTATGGGAAGCAGGGGTTAGGGTAACCATGATCGCTATTAATACTTATGAGAACCTAACTGATTTGCCCATTTCCTCTTTAAACACAAGTAATATATAGGCCAAATAACATCAGAGAAAATATTTAAAAGGGCACAAAAGTCACACTTCAGTGGTAATCTGGGAGCTAGAAACTTGGTTTTTGATATCATAGAGTCCTGAATCCTCTTCATAGCATATGTGGCTATTTTGGTGCAGAGCTATCATTTTTTTCATGTGTACACAAATTGAAATAGTGGATGTGTAAAACCAAATATTGCAGTTGGGGAAAACTGAATGCAAATATCAAACTGTCATTGGTGATGGATTGCTGTACAGTTCATCTAGGGTGCATGATTCTTAGCCTACTTTCCTTGTACCTTCTTTGCATGATGTGTGTAATTTGAACAGTCCTCCACAACTTGAGAATTGCTGGAGATACTGATGAAATTTAATATTAGAGATTCTTTGAAAAAGAAACGAATGTAGGGCCATTTTGATCATCATCAAGATCTATTTCATGGAAGTATACTTTTATAAGAGAATTTTACACAAATTTTTGTATCTTTCTGGTCTTGTTTTATAAGGAGAGAGAGGTTTACAGGGCAAGTCTGCCAACAGATTTAATTTGAGCAGGACATGCAACATATATGAGAATTAATATGATTTCAGAATTTTGATTTTGTTGTGTGGTTCACCTGATATGACCTTGAATTTCACACATTCTTTGTGAATCTTGTTTTCTTTCTTGATGTCATAGTTTGTAATAATGATTGAATCAAAAGCAGTATAGAGATGTTAATCATGCTGTAATTCATTACATTAGCCATCTGTATGCAGAGTAACAACATTTTCTAGTTATATATAATAACACATGCAACTGTATGGAGCAATGTTTGTATGTTGTGTTTGTCTCTGATTACAGATAATATGTGCCAGGTTACCACATATTCAACTTATCCATTTCTTGGATAGCCTTTTGGATGGGCTGTTGGATGTAGAGCCATGTAGCTCAAGTGGCGCAAGTGTGGTGCTAAATATTCTGATCAAATCCAAGGGGGGAGAACTGTATCACCAAGTTAATGACATACTGTGTAAGAAAATTCTTATTGGTTGAAACATAAATGTAGTTGTTTACGTCATTGTTATGTATGTTTGTATTGTCTTATGACAAAGCCTTTTGTATTGGGGAACAGTGGAAATTAAATTATTCACAAATGCCAGTCAACATTTTTGATCTGAGTCTTTCCTCTATTCTTTTCTAACATTATTTGCTGAAACATTCAATTAGCCCACATATGAACCCTCCAGTTTTGCTCCTGACTTGAAATAAATACCTAATGGTACAGCTGTTTGCTCCCCTTGTTGAATGCAAATTTTTAAATTTACCTTATTACGTGATACAGTTACAAGTCATTAGATTTTAGCATTCAGATTGTAATACATTCATTGCAAGTCATTTACGTATGGAGGGTTGCGGACAGTTAAGCAAAGGCTGTCTACTAGAGTATTAAATTTTAAAATATGTGCTGCTGTTAGATACAATTAAGAAATTAAGGCATATTTCAGTTCATTAGTAGTGCCTAGTAATGGAACAAATTCCATTACTAGGCAATACTGATGATTATTTTGATGGTATTTACTGGAGGGAAGACAAAGTAGTTTTCTGATTAGTTAAGACTCCCAAGCTGTTTGGTGCTTGGAAAACATGCTTGTTTGAGTATCACCTGGTATTATTGACAGTGTGTTAAGTACATGGATAAGTAATGAACTCCATGCAATAGAGTCATTCTTGAGAAGTAGATAGTTTCTCTGCTAGTTAAGAAGTTACCTGTCTCTTATAGAATCCAAAGGTTCATTACTGTGTTCCAGAGAGTCTGGCACTCTACTTATCCTGAGCCACATCACGAGTCCATCACACCCTAAAGATCATTTTAATACTCTCCTTCCATTTATCTTTAGGTGTCCCAAGTGGTATTCTCTCTCTAGGTTATCTGACAAGAGGTATCTACACATTTTCAATTCCTCCATTCGTGCCACATGTACCATCACAACCTCCTTTATTTCCTAAAGAAATTTCTCCATCTTTCTATTACTTCCTGTCTCTTGGTCCTAATATTTTCCTCATCCTTTTGTTTACAAGCACATATATTACGTATTCTTTCCTTGGAAAGAGAGACCAGGTTTCATTCATTCATTCATTTATTTTTCATTCCATGGATCCACAATACAAGTGAGATATAGGACATGTCCGTAAAGTGATTATTCTTAAAATTAATAGAGCAACAACTAAGTACATAAATAACAAAAAGTATAAAATACAAATACAAAAACAGAAACAAATCGATTCCAGTCATATAAGTTAATTTTGATGAAACATGCAGTTTAAATTTAGACAATGTCAGTTTGAACATATTACAGAAATTGCTTAAATGACTAGAATAATACTAATAAAAAACAGGATGATCGACAGGTGATTCTAGTGAATGCATAATCATTAACTTATAATGATTTATATTGGAAATATTCTTCCATAGAATAAAAATGATGAAGATAAAGAAAACGCTTTAAACAAATTTTGAACTTCTTAGGGTTGAGTGACTCTTCTTTTATATAAGAAGGAAGATTATTATAAATTTTTATGCCCATATAATACACTCCCTTTTGATATACCGTAAAATTTGCTATGGGTTGATAGAAATTTGTGATATGTCTTGTATTTATATTATGATTTAGTGAATTTGGAATAAAGAGACTTTTATTATTAACCACAAAGGGCATGAGTGAAAAAATATACTGTGAAGCCAAAGGCAAAATTTCCAATTTCACACCTTAACAAAACTATAGATGCAGTACAGTTATAATTTTGTATATATTAATCTTTAGTTTTCTAGAAATGAGACAGAAAGATAAACAATTCTGAACTGAGTGGAACCAAGCTATGCAATATCTGTCAGTTTAGTGCATAGTTATTTGCTGGAATTTCTTCAGTGTATAACGCAGGATGCTTGCAGTGGAGTCAAAAATATTTGAGCATTACACTCTCTGCTACTATTCTTGATGAATAATGGTATAATATCATTTTGATTTGTTTCATTCTGGTCCGTCACACTAACAATTACAAAGACAAAAATAACACCGTCCAGTGTGACTATTTAAGTTTTATCACTTGAAAACTCATCACCCTTACATGTTTTGATCCCTACGGATCATCTTCAGAGGGCATAAATACTTTCTCCAGAAACTACTATTACAGTAGGTGTTAAATTATGTACATACACATATAATGTCTGAAATACACAATGTACACAGTGTTCAAATTTTCCCAGTCACAGCAGCCTTCCTGGTATTAAAATTTTTAAAGTTTCTTGAAAACTTTTTTTGTTTAAGATTAAAATTTATAAACCATGCAGGTTTGTGTCAATTCTCCTATCGTATTTCTTGGAGGTGGCTGATCTTGTGCCGCCTGTCTATCTTGAGAAAGGTGGTTCTTCAAATATATTATGGGCATTGTTTTAATTTCAGCGACCATACTGTGTGTGTGTGTGTATATATATTTTAAGGATTTTGTCCTTATGGACAATACTAAGGTAGGACAAAATCCTTAAAATAAATATATATATATATATATACAGTAGGGTTGCTGAAATTAACACAATACCCATAATATATTTGCAGAATCTCCTTTCTCAAGATAGACAAGCGGCACAAGATCAGCAACCACCCAAGAAAGACAATAGAATTGACACGAACCTGCATGGTTTATAAATTTTAATCTTAAACAACAAAAGTTTTTAAGAAACTTTAAAAATTTTAATTCCAGGAAGGCTGCTGTGACTGTGAAAAGTTGAACATTGTGTACATTGTGTATTTCAGACATTATATGTGAATGTATATAATTTAACACCTATTGTAATAGTAGTTTCTGGAGAAAGTATTGATGCCCTCTGAGGATGATTCGTAGGGATCGAAACATGTAAGGGTGATAAGTTTTCAAGTGATAAAACTTAAATAGTCACACTGGACGGTGTTATTTTTGTCTTTGTATAATATCATTGTTGTAGGTAACATCTTGGAGAGGTTGGTGAACATTCAGTGTGTCCAGACCCGCATGGGAAGTGTGCGGGCAATACATGCTCTAGCAAATCACCACCCAAAGGCTGTAGTAACTGGACTCCTAAAGCAACCACTGCCATATGATGTGTGAGTTCATATTCCGCTGGGCGAAAAGCCATGTTTCCAATTGAAATGTTACCTAACTAACTCTGTGGAGCAAAGTCCTTGAGAAACTGACATACACTCAGCTTGTCGAAAAATTCCTTGCCTCCTATGGAACCCAGAGGAGCATTACCTTGTTTACAAGAACTTGCCATTGTGCCCTATTCTGAGCTAGAAGAACCCAGTTCACAACCCCTCAGATCCAGTAGGTTTTCCAACTAAATTGTTTTATGCATTTTTCAATCTCTTCCATGTGTTGCTCATCTCATCCTTCATATCACCATAATAACTGATGAAGATATCAAATTATGAAGCTCTTTATAATGCAGATTTTACCGTTTTTCTGTTACTGTGTCTCTGTTATGTCAAGATATTTTCTTTATCACTTTGTTTTCTAAAATCCTCAATCTATGTCCCACCCTAGGGTTAGAGATTCTTTCATTTTGTACTGTCATTTCTAAATATACCCAGTGTGGAGGAAGATTAGAATACCTCAACCATAGCCCTCCAAGTCACAAAAGGTGATGAAAGGGTAACCCAGTGCCTGGAGGTGTAACTGGGCCACTCTATCACTGGGGGACATAAATACAGAGACCTGGTCCTCCAGGTTGGAGGTGGGATTCAAGGCTGACAACTTTGCTGTGTAAAAAATTACTGTTGCAGAATCCAAAGAAATGGAAAGCAGATGCAATATGACATAATCTAAGGAGAGCTATGGTTCAAAAGGGCTGTTTTGCCAGTGATGATGATGATGATGATATTAGTTTCTGTAAATAATTATGTAGCTAGAAGGGGATGAACAATGGAACAATATGCAGTCTTATATTTTAGAATAAATTTTGACCCATAGCAGCTTCATGTGATTCATGTAAAAGCCTCAGTACATTTGAAGAAAGTGTAATGTAGAAAACAATTATTTATACCGGGTGTTAATAAAGGATTACAGACTTGAAGGGGGTATAGGACTTACTTAAATGAGCAAAAAGTACCCAGTCAACATATGTCCAAAAATTAGCATCTGCTGAGATATGGGAGAGTCATTGTCTGGGTGAGCATCTTAGGTGATAAAGTGTTGGGACCATTTGTCTTACCTAACAGACCAACAGATGCAATGTACCATTGTATTTGATGAATGATTTACCAGTACTCTTGGAACATGTGGTTCATGCATGATAGGGCACAACCTCATTTTCGCTGCATTGTCAAAACTTGAACCACACTTTCAGGGGATGGGATAGGATGCAGAGGTCCAGTCAGCTGTGGAGACACCTAAAGACTGGTGCATTCTGTGCTGATTACTGACTTGGGCATATTACAGCAACAAGCAGAGAATGCATGTCAGGAGATTCCAGTGAAACCATGAATTTTTGACAATGTGTGTGCACCTCAGTGAGGTGAAGAGCTGAAAGTTGTGTTGGAAATGCATGGGAATCACACAGAGCATCTTCTTTAGATATGGCATACAAATCACTCTTATATCAGCAGGCATTGGTTTCTGGACATATGTTGAGTAAGACTTTTTTGGTCATTTAAGAGAGTACTAAACCCTTTTTAACACACTATATAGCATCCAGTGATTAGTGAATAACAGATTGGAAAAGATGTAGACAGAAGTGATCATGACCTAATTAGTGATATTTTCCCTGGCATTTGCCTACATTGACTGAGAAACTTCATTCAGTGCAGCTGATCTCCTCTCCTAGATTGGTTAAACATTTATTATAACATAGGACACAATGCATTAGTTAAGATAGTATGTATTTACTAGGTGTTTATTGTTTAAAATATTAAAACCGTAAAAATTATGTTCTTCGTTAATGTACATAAATAGTCATAATACTCGTATAATGCAACTGTGTTTAAGAATTGTGTATGAACAATTGTACTCTACATGTAGAAGTACAATATCAGAAGTGCAAAAGGAAAAGAGAACATTGAAATAGAGCAGTCTTATACATGAGTGACTAGGTTTCTTGTAATCAAGAGGTACATAAAGTTATCACTCTGTTAATCAGACAGGAAAGACTGAATGCATTTCTGCTGTTTGCATCAGTTTTGCTAGTTGCTGAAAGCCTGTATAGCAGCAGCCTTGCAGCTGGCATGCAACAGACTAATGGTAGAGCTTGCTGCAGCAGATGCTCTAGAAATTTTATTATTGGTGTGTCTGTTATGTTGCTGTTTTATCTCATCAGTCTAGACTTGTAGTTTAAAACACACGATCTTCAGATGAGCCTTTTCATGATACATGTTCTGCCACATCTTATACTGTATTGTAATGAATTTGACCAATGTGTTACAAGGTAAGAGCTCTGTAAACATGGTCCAACATGCAATAATGGATGTTGCTGTGTTTTCTGTGTCATCCGTGCTGAGCAGAAGTGGTACAGTGGGTCTGTGAACCGGTTTCTAAGCAGTGGCCGAGTAAACACACTTCCGCGTAAGTGGTGATGTCATCAACAGTAGAGACGTTGTTCTTTGTGGGGTCTGTGCAGAGTGCATATAAGAGAAGTGAATGCAGTGACAAAGTTAGTTTGAGGGCAGATACGAGTTGCGAGTCAGTCATAAGTTAGAGGAGTGAGTCCAGAAGAATTTTTAGTTCTAAGGTTCCAGAGTGATTGGAGACAAAATAGCAAGAAGGCTTCATAGTGATTTGAAATGATAGTTTCTTTGTTGAGATCTGTTGCCAGGAGACGACTACAGAAGACAGACAATCCTAGTGCATGTGCAGTGGTGAACTGGAAAGTGTGTAAGTCAGTGATAGTGCTGTATTTAAGTGTGATTAAGAGAACTTGTAACTAAGGTGCTAATAAATTCAATCATCCGAACTAGAATCCTTTATTTTTGTCACACGCACCACCCTACACGTGACAGTATGTCATGTCTTTGGTTCAGATCATAACTAAGAGTATTGTTTTTCTTTCTGTGTAAAACTTTGTCTTGATAAGAGACATAGCCATGAAAGGCTTCATATTGTCTTACATTTAATTTGCATTCATACCATTTTATTGAGTGGGCCAGGATAGTGCAGTTGGTATAGTGACTGTCTACAGGCTGGATGACTTGAGAGATTGGAGTTTGAGTCCTGGTAGGGTCAAGAATTTTCACTTCTCCACGTTGTCCAGACCAGCTCTAGGGTCCACCTAACCTCCTGTACTGAGGGCTCTTTCCTGGGGTGTGAAGCTGACCACTCACCTCCAACTAGCGCTGAGGTCAAGAAAATGTGGATCTATACATCCGCTCCCCCATACGTTGTCATGGCATAGAGCTTAATGAATTAAGCACAGAGACAACTTTACATTACTTTTACCATTTTATGGAGCATAATACATTTTCAGAGTGTGTTGTACAAGATAAAGTTATGAAGAAAGCAGTTTTCTGGGATGTGGAGCCGTGTAGATATTGTGTTAACTGACGTTTCAGAGGAACGTATCGGCTCCATCTTCACGGTAGAAGAAAAAAGAAGAAAATCTGCGAGCGAGGAACCAGCTTGGGAAGGTGCTAACACAATATCTACACGGTGCCACATCCCAGAAGACTGCTTTTTTCATAGTAACCACCATGAAAACCTCAAATCTTACAAAGATAAAGTTAGTTGTCTGTAGTTGTCTCAATTTGTGAAATTTATTTGTAGGTCAGTGGTTGAGTGTTGGACAGTACTGGCTCAAGATCCTGTCCTCTCTGCAGATATTATTGAGCAGTTTCTACAGCTTGTAAACAATACAGCACCATATAGTGAGCAGACAGACGAGAACAAACTCAGGATAGCAGCTTTGCAGCCGCTTGCTGTGAGTAATTGTGTATATGGCAGGAGTTATGATATTACCAGATTTGAATTGATCTTGTTAAATTTACCTTTCTGTAATCTGTAATTTCTTTATCTTCTGTATGCTGGTGACTTACAACAGATCTTAAGTACAGAGTTCTTGGGAAGCTAATATGTGCTCAGCTGCTCAAGAAATTCTCAATTTTCTAGGAAGCCCAAAGGTTATCTATGTTTAAAGCATCTTGACACTGAGCCTTATTCTGAAACAGATTAATCCAGTCCACAACCTGTGTTTCTGTAAGATTCATTTGAATGCTGTTCTCCGATCTATGCAAGGGTATCCCAAGTGATCTTTTTAAGATTGTTCAAGTAGAATTCTGTTTTCAGTTATCATATATGTCCCATGTGTGCTACATTCCCATCACTGCACAGTGGGGCAGAATGGAGTCAAAATGAGACAATTATTTAATATGATCAGTGTTTTGTAATAGTAACTAAAACTGATATTGACACATAAATGCACATATTTTTATCTAATCGCAAGCCATTTTCACATAAATACATATTTCATTACTAGGCAAAAATCAGTCTTCATTTAATTCAGTTCCTCTGAGCTTTCAGTTTGGCCTTCACATTTTTAATTCTTGTGTTCATCGTTTTCAGATATCAGCAGCTGGTTGTTTCATTCCAGAGGGGAATTTAGCATTGCTGATATGAATTTCTTAGGCCCCCCCTACACACACAGTTTGGGCTTCCAATCGACCTTACAGGCAAAACTGTGACAGTTTACCCCCTCCCTTTCCTCCCCATACATGCACAGATAAAGCAGCAGGCTTCATGCCACAATCATGGTCTTCCAGCCTATAATGTTGAGTCACACACATCACATGCTATGGTCCTGCAGGCAGAACTGATGGACTGATGGGTTTCCCACAGGCCAACAGTCCAAACGATTGGCCGGCCGGCCGCACTACAAACGTCAATTTTGCCTTTCAGTCTTCAACTGTGCCAGCCGAACTGGAGGCCAAACTGTGTCTGTATGGGGGCCCTTAGACTTTAAAGAAAAGATATTGGTGGGTTATTCAATAGATTTGTCATGTTCTTTGATGAAAGCTCTTTTTGTGTGATGTTCACAAATCTTTTGTTATCTTCATTCCATGTCTTCTGAGCCTCCTTGTGTAACTATCCAACCATTTCATCTGATTTCATTACAGAATGTAACTACTGATATTCATAACTTTCTTGAAACCTGTCTAAAGTTGAAGCTCACTTTTTGAGCCAACTTTGTCTATGATTATTCTAACATACTTTTCTGGTCAAGGAGCTAAATGGAGACAATGTAGACAGCCTTACAATTTCACTCTTGACTACCAGCAATAAGATGTTTCAAATGGCTGTCTTCACTGTTGCCAAGGAAAACCTTGGAAATTGTTTTTGACACTGAAATTGTCAGGTGATTTATACCCATCAAAATGACTACTCTGGTCATTCAGTATTAAGAGCCTTGCTAAAAGTATTGATTTTTTCATTCATGTCTCTTTTTTTATGTAATTCTGGCCCGCTGTATGCAGTATCTGTATACTTCATGTACATGTGAAGGTATGCATATTATATTCTTTACGTTGTTTAAAATTGAATTAACACTTTTGTTATATTTTGTCCATAACTCTTGTAAATTGTATTTTTTTTTTTTTTGTTCAGGCTATAAGTGAAATGCATGAAATGTTTCAACTTGCTACAATGCACGATATTGCTGTGAAGAAATTTCCAGAACTGTTTTCGGTTCTGCTGATTGCACTGGGTTGCTATGTTGGTACTTCACCACCTATCTATACTCCACAAAATACAAAGAGCAAGAAAGACAAGTCAATTTTTGTTCCTAATCGAAATGCATATAGACTTATTCCAGCAAGGTATGGTATATTGATAATTATACCTGCAAAGTTTTCCAGTTTTTCTTTTGTCTAAGTTCTCTGTTAATTTTACAGAACAGTTGAAAGTGTGCAGATTTAATGTTCTGAAGAAATGCATTACACAGTGCAAATATCTTTTTATGTTCTTATTACTTACAGGCATCAACATGATAGACACTAACAGACAGATTTTTTTTTAAATTTGGTCCATAAATTTTGACATTAGATTTGATGTGCTAATAGTATAGTATTTCACTCACTAATGGAACTGAGGCCTTCTTGAGAAGCTTCCAGTTGTGCAGCTACTCAAGAAGTTCCCAGCATTTTATGGAACCCGAAGGTTCATTACCGTGTTCACAAGAGCCCACAACTGGTCCCTATCCTGAGCCAGATCAATCCAACCTATACCATCCCATCATCTCTCTTTAAGATCCATTTTAATATAGTCCACCCATCTTTGTCTTGGTCTTCCCAGTGGTCTCCTTCCTTCTCGCTTTCCCACCAATATCCTATATGCAGTCCTCTTCTCCCCCCATCTCATCTTCCTTGACTTGATCATTCTAATTATACTTGTGGAATAGTACAAGTTACGACGCTCCTCATTATTCAATTTTCTCCAACCTCCTGTCACTTCATCTCTCTTTGGTCCAAATATGCTCCTCAGCATCCTGTTCTCAAACACCCACAGTTTATGTTCCGCCCTTAATGTCAGAGACCAAGTTTCACACCCATACAGAACCACAGGCAAAATTATAGTTATATTCTAATTTTTTATGTGTTTTATACAGATGACAAGAAAACAAAAGGTTCTGAACTGAATGGTAGCGAGCATTACCTGATTTCAATCTTCTGTTAATTTCTTCCTGAATCAGGTTTTGATTTGTTATAGTCATTCCCAAATATCTGAACTGTGCCACATTTTCAAAATGTCCGTTACCTGTCTTTATGTCATGATTTTGCCCTGCATTTTGATGACAGGATAGCAACATATACTTAGATTTCTCTTTGTTTACTTCTAGATCAGCCTCCTTACTTGTGTCAAATAAAGTTTGTATATTCACACCATCAGCATAGACGAAGAGCTGATGTGTCCCATTTAATTTCAGTCCCACCTGGTTTTCTTGTACCTTCCTAATGGAATATTCTAAAGCAGAGTTGAAAAGGATTGGCGATAAAGCATCTTCTTGCTTTAAACCATTCTGGATAGGAAAATTATTAGACAAATGTTTACCTATACAGACTTTACCATATGTTACGTTTAAACACATATTAATCAGCCTGACTAATTTCATGGGAATCCCAAACTCTATGAGAATATTGTACAATACTTCCCTCCTAACTGAATCATAGGCTTTCTTGAAGTCCATGAATAGCCGATGTACTAATAGTACAGCATTTGGATTGCCAAAAGTTGATACCTGGTATGATAACCTGAATATAAACTAATGCAAAGAAAATATATAAAATATATAAGGTTTGACAGGTAAGTAAGCAAACTGGTTTTGTAAAAATAGTACTCGTATATATTGATGTAACTTCAGCAAGTAGTCTTTCAGTATCTCTTGTCATGCTTGATAAACATTGCTGGAAGTCATTTTTCAAGTCATTACCTTTCTGTGGGTATCTTAAGGTGATTTATTTCCAGATGAACCTCTTGGAAGTACATTTTTGTTTTGGGAATATAAAGAGTCACACAAGGCTTAATCTGATGAGTGTGGTGCATTTTTGAACTCTGGTATTTGTTTTGTGGCTAAATACTGCTTTATTGAACATGCTATGTGCAACAGGAGACTGTTCTGTTGTAGACTTGACTTGTTCAGGCGCACATACATATACACACACACATTCCCCTGTTATAAATGTTCAAAAGTTTATGGTAGAATGTTTTGTTGGCTGCTTTTTGGGGGGGAGATTGTAATCAGTAATTCTTTTTGTATAAAAAATAGATTGGCATGGCATTGGTTTTCAAGTTGGTCGCACTCATGCTGAAAAAATGGAGTCCTGAGAGCTGATGTATTGTGTTGTCATGTATATCTGTAATATTGCTTTGCTTCACAGATGTAAAGCGTTTTAGTAAAAAATATTTTAAAATCTGTAGTCTAGGTCATTTATCCAGAGGGTCCGTCCAGGTCTGAGGCTGTTATGCCTCAAGGGGGGGGGGTAATATTAAAATTCTAATTTACTCAGTCACCACCCTTTCAGTTAGGATGTTCACTTCATCCGGCTGCCGTTGACTGCCTGGGTCAGGTCTGACTTCGCTTGGGCCAGGATTGCTCGGGATCGGTCTTGGACGGGTTGGTTCAGGGAAGTTTGTGAGGGTGAATCATAACTCTGTGCACATCCTACCCTAAGTGCACTGATCTATTTACACTGTTATTTACAATAAAGAGGCGCCGACTTCGGCCAGTTTACGTAACACCATTTCGTTACTCCCTTTCTAAGTTCCCTCTCGGGGGTGATGCCGTGAGACTGTTGCTTCCCTCCATTGCCTGTCACTCTACACAATTTCTACCCTATTCTACCCTGGCGCTCGGGGCACACTGGAGACCGTACTTCAAGTTCACAACAACAACACTGAATTTTTGGTAACATGGCTAATATGAGCAAAGAGAATTACTTGAAATAAAGACGCAGATAAGTGTCGCCATCCACCATCCTGTGGTACCCATGTCGAACAGAGCCTCTGGCTAACAGCTGGATATTACGTTTTAGATCGATCTCTGAGTTAGTTTTTCCCTCATTTTTATATTATTAAAATCGCTGATGCACCAGCTAACAAAGAGGGAGGTTACCTCCTCCCTTTGTCCACAATTGCGGGGCGGTGGGTCCCCCCATTGGTTGAACTCAGTTCTTCGCGGGCAGTCCGCGGCGCCTCCCTCTTCGCATTTTGTGGGACTCCAGTGGTTTACCAACGCCACTTACAAAGTGGAACGATTGCGCGTTTCTCCTGACTAAGATGTTTGTTGACTGTGTTCCACAGCCTATGTATGGCCATCACTGCTCTAATTACTGTGAAACGCTCTCGTAATATTTAGGCAATGCTTTTGATTTCTAGTCTCAAAATTTGTGGCATAACAGAGGCTTTATGTACATTTTCATAACATTGGATTGATCTAGCTCAGGATAGGGACCAGTGGAGATCTCTTGTGAGCACAGTATGAACCTTTGGGTTCCATAAAATGCTGGAAAATTCTTGAGTAGCTGCAGAATTGGCAGCTCCTCAAGAAAGGCTCAGCTCCATGAGTGAGTAAGTAAGTAAGTATTTTAAAATCAGGTATATTATTTGAGAAATTCTATTATGCAGGAACCTTCTATACAGGTACAAAATGTGTGTGTCTCATGGGCAATATGATAACATCACAAAATTTTAGTTTCTTACATGAAAGAATTTCTATTCTGAGACTATCTCAAGTGAATTTGATTGTAGTAGTCAGACATTGTAATGTGGATTCACATTTCATTCTCATTTTATTTTGGGAAGTAGGAGGGTTACTGCATGTCATGTGAATATAAATTGTTTCAGGGTTGCTGTTGAAGCATTTAAATCTTTCTTGTTATGTTCAAAATGTGAGAATGTAGCAGAAGCATTACTCCAGTGCACACGTATGGATGCTGGCAACAGTCTCAGTTCTTTCATTCATATGGTTCCTGCTCTCACAAGGTAAGGTGCTTGAATATGCTATAAGGCGCTGTGAAAATTAAAATGAATTATGTGTCTTATATGCAGAAGGGACGGGGTGTTGTTACCTATTGTATGTATTAAAATGGCAAAGTGAATAATAGAATGGATTTTTTTTTTTATTATTTATCATTTATTAGCAATCTGAATTTGCATTCTATGAGCTAATTTGCTGTCATGTACAATAATTATTTTAAGAATGGAAATGAAAGGAAATATTGCATGTTTTTGTGTTTGAGGAGAAGGAGGACAGATAAACGAAATATTGATTAATTTTGCATGACAATATTTGTCAGAAATTCATAATCTGTCATCTACAGATTATGAAGGGGAGCCGGCGTAGTGTAGTTGGTGTAACAACTGGCTACAGGATGGATGACAGAGGTGTTGCAGTTAGAGTCCTGGTAGAGTCAAGAATTTTCTTTTCTCCATGTTGTCCAGACTGACTCTGAGGCTCACCCAGCCTCCTGTCCAATGGTACAGAGAGCTTTTTCCATGGGGGTAAAGTGGCCAGGGTGTGAAGCTGACCATTCACCCCCAACTAGTGCCAAGGTCAAAAAAATGTGGATCTATACATCCATTCCCATATATGCCTTCATGGCATAGTGCTTAATTAGTTAAGTACAGTGACAACTGTACCTTTAACAGATTGTGGAACTGAATGTTCATTACTATGTTCACATGACCCCATCACTGTATTCTGTCCTGAATCAGTGAAATCCAGTCCAAATCCTTTTCCTTAAGATCTGTTTTAATATTATTCCCCCATCTATTCCAAGTCTTGCAAGTGAATTGTTCGTTGACACCGATATATTTCACCATCTCTACCATGTGTGCTATGTGCTTCACCCATTGTAGACCTGCAGAGGGGCCACTCACCCCCACCCCTCTTACATGTATTGATGCGCGTGCACACACACACACACACACACACACAGAGTAATATATTCAGTCACTTCCTGTTTTGCATATGAGAACATTTACTTTTGTTCATTTAAGTCTTGTATTTTTTCTTGGGTGGGGTTTCAGAGCTCTTTGTTCCCGCATGCCTCAGTCCATGCTTCGACTGGTGACCTGCCTGAATCAGTATGGTGCCAGCACTTTTGAATCACAGAGAATAGTAGTTGCTGCTTTTTATGCAGAGGTATGTGTTCATACTTCATAGCCACTAACACATAGTGATTGTATGTTACACTGCATTGTATGTGGGCTACGGTAAATAGCCACTGGATGGATTGGTTAAGAGACCGTCCTTTGAAGTAGCATACATTGAGGTGCGACTTCTGTGGTCTTATTATCTCATTTGCTCATACATAATAGTAAGTAGATTAAGCAAGTAATGTTTTTGTGGATTGAAATTGTTTTCTTAAATTGTCTAAGAAATGAAAGAATTACATTCTCTGGGCTGTAGTACATAGATGGTTTGTACCTTACAACTTAAAGTGATATAAGCAGAAGGAAACTGTTCCTTTTTTACTCTCCTGTTCTGTGATCATTACAATACTTTACAGTTATTACTGAAACACCTATTATTTTTTTATTGCTAGTGGGGTGGGACTAAGTCCCTTGTACTGCGGCCACTTCTGACCTAATGTACCAGCGCCAGATGATAGGTGAGGGTAATTGTGGAGCAATTGGTGGAATGAAGATTGGCAGGGGAAACTGAAGTACTCTGATAAAACCTGCCCCAGCGCCACTTTGTCCACCACAAATCCCACTTGACCAGACCCCGGGATTGAACCCAGGCCGCCATGGTGGGAAGCCAGCGACTAACCACTTGAGCTATGGTGCAGCCCAACACCTGCTATTATGTGACATTTGATGCTTTCATGGTGATCAGTGTTTATTATGATGTCTTGTGTGGGTCAATGTTAAGTACAAATACAGGATTAAAATGTTACTGTCTCAAAGTAACTAATTGCCTTCTTCATCATAGTTCTTCAAAATGTTGGTGGCGTTTTTCTTTTGTTTCCTTTCTCCCCAGCCTCTTTCTCAACATTGTGCTTTACCAAATATTGCATAGTGAACCATATTTCCTTTATAGATGTTGAAACATGTTACATATTGTTTATTTGCAGTTAGTTCCCCTGAATGCCGGTGGGCAAGCTGTGTTACTGGGAAGCATTGTAAGCAATCTGTTGAGTTTTTTGAATGACCCATCCCCTATAGTAAGACGGCTCTGCCTTAAGGGCTTGTCTTCAGTGTCTCATCTTGCCCAAGAACAGGTGAGTTCTATGATATTAGATGGGTTTGCAAATATTGTCAGAAGGGAAAGTTGCTGGTAATCATCTATGTCGGTGGGCTGATATTTTTTTGGTTGTTTGTCAAAATATACAATTTTAAAGTTTCAGAATAAAACATACTATCTGAGGAAACCTGGTTGTATACACTGAGGGAGCGTGTGTTATTGAAGTTCGAGTTTTGGAATTTTACCTTTGTGAAAATTTGGGATAAGTATTACAGTTTTTCTTGAACACAAAATGCAAAACAATAACAAACTTATCCCAAACTACAGTATTTCTTTTTCAAGAAAATATTATTTGTTAAGAAATTCTTGTATGTGTATGGGGGGGGAGGGGTGCGTGCGCGTGCTCATATCAATGTTACAGGGTATGTAGCTGGCCATTGGCTAGCCTAGGTGGATGCCCCATTGATATAAGGGGATGGGTGTTAGTGTGGTTTGCTAGTCCAACATAATTTTAGATTGTTAAATGTACTGCCTTTATTTAAGATATCTGGAAAGAGACCATCGAATTCAAGTACACATTGTACACCTTAAAGTTCCCCCCCTTTCTTTACATAATATTATTTTTGATGGATAAAGTTGTATTTTTATTGTGAGTGAACTGAAAAGTTTTACGTAAGAGTGCATCCTTACTTAAACTTGGGAGTCATTATAAAAGTAAGGTTTACATTATGAAATTTCACAATAAGGACATACCTGTATTTTCAAGAATACATCCCTTCTGTAATGTGGAGGCATGCTATAGTTAGAAGTGTTCATCTCTGGTAATACATTGAGTTATTTAGGATGCATATATCTCAGCTGCTGGTATAAGAGGTGTTGAAGCTTCAGAGTTGGCTAGGTTGGTAGCTAAAATGAAAATTTTTAAATTTGCTTAGTTGGAGGTGGAGTCCAACTGGGTCCAATTGGCATGGCAGCCACTGATTGGCCTATTGTAGCCTGCCCTTAGTGATTATGATGATGGAGAATTTGGTGGAATGAAGATTGGCAGGGTAAACTGAAGTACTCGGAGAAAACTCGCCCCAGCACCACTTTGTCCACCACAAATCCCACTTGACCAGACACGGGATCGAACCTGGGCCGCCACGTTGGGAAGCCAGTGACTAACCACTTGAGCTATGGTGTGGCCTAGGTTGGTAGCTCTGTATGATGTCAGTCTTTTGTTCTCATGCATGACTGACTTGCTGTAAAATTAGTCCAGATTCTGAGAAGTTACTTTGGAAGAGAGATTCATCTTTTTTAACCTCCATTTAGAGAGCTGACTTTTTATTTTAATAACTGATGATAATTAAATCAGTTGATTCTTATGTATATTGTAATTAATGTGTGGCAATAGTTGGGAATTTTAATCTTCCCATAGAAGAATCAGCATTGTCAGCCTGTTCTATCAGCATTAATCCAGGGACTGGATGACCATGATAACAGCAACAACATTCCACTGGAAGCTATGAAGGGATTCTCACAGATGCTACAAGTTGTGGATGTGGAGCATGTGCAAGGTGTTCAGGTGTCTGTTGCATTACGGATAAAGCCATTTTTTGAGAATGAAAATCCTGATGTACGAGAAGCTGCTTTTCAAATGTTTGGAGATCTGGCAAAATATGGAGGAATGAATTCCAAAACAGCTTTTCAAGAGCAAGTCACTGGTAACTTGGTGTGCCTTCTGCTTCACTTAGATGACAGCAGCAAAACTGTGGTCAAGGTACATTTTTTCTGTTTTTATTTTTTATTGTTATAAATATTCAGCTGACTATTAACTTCTGTCATGTGGGAGTATTGGTCTTAAATTGCCGAATTTTGCTTACTGCAGGGTTTCAGCCCTGTTTTATTTTGGGAGTAACAGTTTATTGCCAGAAAATGGGGTATTCAAATTTCTTGCTTATGCAGGTCTGGCAGCCATATTTTAAGCAGGAGGTGATAGTATTAGCGTGAAAAATTGCAACATTCAGCAAGCTGGAATATCCAGTGCGCTGTTGAATATGTTTGATGCATGTTGGATAACATTGAAAGACCATTTGAGATGGTGTGATTTTAAAAGGTAGTGCAGGTTTTTCGGTTATGAGAAGTGGATAAAATGCAACATGTGCAATACAGAGAAGATGACAGAAACTGTATTAGATGGGAGAAAAGAGGTGTGTCTAGAAATTTGCACATGAAACCAATTTCAGTGTTTTATCATCAGAATGTAAGGGGAAATCAGAATATAACAATAGCTAATACATTATTTAAAGTTTGGCAGGGTTCAATACAGTGTAACATCAGTAAAATGATAATCACCTGAAGAGGGAGATTCCAAATCTTCACTATCTGTGTTGTCCACTTGTTTATGTCATAGTCTTCAATTACATAGAACAGATGATCATGTATTGTCTTTGTTCTTCAAAATGGTGAAGAGTATCCATACCATATTCCTATTTCAGTCTTTGATAAACCACTGATGTCACAGAAGTGTGTTACTTCAACCTTTGTATTTTAATCTAAGTACTTGTGCTTGTTGCCATAATTAGGGTTTAATGCTTGTAATATAGCTACCAGGCAGTTCAATCACAGAAAATTTCAACTTATAATTGACAATAGATTTTCCGTCAAGTGCAACAATATATATTTTGATCACTTAATTATCTCATCTGCCTTACATGTTTCGGTTCCAAGGAACCATCTTCAGAGGCACTTACAACAAACCATGAAAACACTGGCACAGCTCAACATTCACAATATGTAATTATTCGTGAAAACTATTACATATAACGGAGTGTAAAGCACAACACTTCCCAGTATCTTGAATGCAGGTATAGCACTTGCATCTAAAGACCACCCTCAAAACCGAGTCGTCAACATTAAAATTTAAAGTTAAAAAATTAAAAAACGTTCAAGTAAAATATTATTCAGGCTCCTTCTTGGTGAATCGTCCCAATGGGGGGAGGCGTCAGCACAGAGTACAACAGTACGCAACGCACACCGCGTAAGATACACCCGACCACAAGGTAAGGCCAGGATCATAATAGTATTTAACATTAAATATATAATAATAGATATAACCTAACGTAATATAATATCTTTGCAGCTTACACAACTCTGTGCTGACGCCTCCCCCCATTGGGACGATTCACCAAGAAGGAGCCTGAATAATATTTTACTTGAACGTTTTTTAATTTTTTAACTTTAAATTTTAATGTTGACGACTCGGTTTTGAGGGTGGTCTTTTGATGCAAGTGCTATACCTGCATTCAAGATACTGGGAAGTGTTGTGCTTTACACTCCGTTATATGTAATAGTTTTCACGAATAATTACATATTGTGAATGTTGAGCTGTGCCAGTGTTTTCATGGTTTGTTGTAAGTGCCTCTGAAGATGGTTCCTTGGAACCGAAACATGTAAGGCAGATGAGATAATTAAGTGATCAAAATATATATTGTTGCACTTGACGGAAAATCTATTGTCAATTAGTGATTGATAGTGTAACGGACCAAAATGAAACAATTCAAAATTTCAACTCATATTTTCTATCAGAATGGTACAGTATCCAATGAAACAAGCTCCTGGACTAGAGAAGGTCAAGTGATATCATGTGATTGATGTTTCTCATTGGCTAAAATTTAAGGGAAACAGGACCTCAAAGCTGTCAAGTTGTGTTAAATGCAATCTTAAAAATTTGTCCCCTGTTGTGACCATCCTGTGCTTTACTGCTTCAAGGTCAAATAAATTCTGTATTTAGACACTCAATAGTCAGATCTGTATCATGGACTTCTCCTGGGCAAGGCAGAGGTTCAGATGGTGGGTTAAATGTATCTTTACAGACTACTTGTTTCAAGTTATTTGAGAAACAATGCTGCAAGTACAGTTGGTGCAAAGTTGCAGAAGAAAGTTGTGTGTAGTTATGACTCACTTAGCTGGAAAATAGCCCTGGTTTTGCTTGATATTTTTTCATATGTGTGACAGTAAGATATCAATACTGATGATTTTTCCTGACATTTTCAGTTAAATCTTGTTTGTTCTGTCTTGATTGCACTGTGTTTGAGAATGATAATACTGTGACATGTCAAACTGTTGTTGGGCAGTGGGATGTGGAACGAGTTACTACGAAGACAGACTCTTGATAAATGGTCGGTTACCAAGTTACCCAACAGTGGAACGAGGTTATGCAACAGTAAGGAAAGCGGTGTTTCTCTGTGCTGTGCCGAGCTGAACCGTGCTGGTTGCTACACAGCAGTAAACAATTCTCAGGAGCGTTGCCAAGCAATGCCCCTGTAGACACGAGGTCATGCAACAGTGAAGCAAGCTGTGTTTTCCGCCTGTCCGATGGGGGGTTTATAAGAAATTGGAATGCCTGAGGCGTTAGTATTCACCAGTATTTGGCAGAACAGAAGTCAGTCTAAGCAGCCGCAGGAGGAAGAAGAACTGAATGTGTGATTTAGAAGACTTTATATATGTGACGGTGTGTGCAACAGTGGATTATGAGGTGTATGTAAATCAGCGGTAGTGCTGTAATTTGAGTGTAATTAAGAGAGTGTGTGTAACCAAGCTGTTAATAAATCCTATCATCTGAACTAGAACCTGTCATTTCGTCACCTGTACCCTCCTACACGTGACATATTTGGTGTCAGAAGTTGGTGGCTTGGATAGTATTGGATTCTTCAGCAGTGGTTATGACCTGAAACATGCCACAATTTAGGACGAATTATTGAATTTCCGAGTACACTATACTGCCATATGATGGAGATGGAAAAATTGATGGAACGCCTGCTGGCAAAATTGGACGCCAACTAGGCGAAGGCAGATAGAAAGACCAACAGAGAAATGCTGGTAAAATTGGATGCTGATAGGAAGACCAGCAAAGAAGAATTCCTGGCCAGGATGGATGCTGATAGAAAAGACTGGCGAGAAGAGATGGCCTCCGGCCACAAGGAGATGGTGGCTGAAATCAGACCCGAAACAGACTTAAAGGCGATGGCCTGCCGAGAAATGACGGAGGCACATCTGGAAAAAGAGCCCACCTTGCTGGACAGGAAACCTGAGGTGGCACAACAGGAGGTCCCCATAGAAGACACCATAGTGAAACAGGTCAGAGGATGGAAGAAGTGGCATAGGGGTAAGAAGCAAGCTGCAGGGCGATGTAGAGAGCCAAAGGAACTGACCTGAGGAGATTGTGGATCTCGGAGGATATTGGCTGCCTCCTTCAGGAAGGTGTCCCACCATGCTACAGTGGCATGGTGCAAGAGGAACATCTTCAGGAAATCTTGGATCCAAAGAAATTGTGGGGTCAGCCACCTCTGAAGCGGAAAGAGAAACAGCTTTAGAGTAAGAGTAGCCAGATAAGTGGGAGCACTGGCCACTCCCAGAGTTATGGCCCCCACTGGTGAGAAAGAAAGAAAGGAAGAAAAACTTTGGATGATTGTGATACAACTGGATCTCCTGGCACGTTAGCAGGAAACTGCTTGGGATGAGCTGGTCTTAAGGAGGGAGTGGATATAGTGGTTGGAGAATGGACAGATGGGGAGGAAAGAAGCACTGAGCCAGACAAAAAGAAGACATTGCAAGTACAGCCTCAGAAGGAAAGGACTGGTGATGCACTGTTAGGCTATTTGGGATGAACAGCCTTAAGGAGGGAGCAGTGTGACATGTCAAACCGTTGTTGGGCAAAGGGATGTGATACGAGTTACCATGAAGCCAGACTTGATAAACAGTCGATTGCCAAGTTACGCAACAGTAAGGAAAGCAGTGTTTCTCCGAGCCGAGCCAAACCACGCTTGTTGCTACGCAGCAATAAACAGCTCTCAGCAGCATTGCCAAGCAACGCCTCTGTAAACAGGATGTCACGCAACAATGAAGCAAGCTACATTTTCTGCCTGTCCGATGGAGGGTTTATAAGAGAAATTGGAATGCCTAAGGAGTTAGCATTCACCAGAACAGAAGTCAGTTGAAGCAGCCATGGGAGGAAGAAGAATTGAACATGTGATTTAGAAGACTTTATATGTGCGATGGCGCGTGCAGCAGTGGATTACGAGGTTTATGTAAATCAGTGATGGCGCTGTAATTTGAGTGTAATTAAGAGTATGTGTAACTTTCTGCCTGTCCGATGGAGGGTTTATAAGAGAAATTGGAATGCCTAAGGAGTTAGCATTCACCAGAACAGAAGTCAGTTGAAGCAGCCATGGGAGGAAGAAGAATTGAACATGTGATTTAGAAGACTTTATATTTGCGATGGCGCGTGCAGCAGTGGATTACGAGGTTTATGTAAATCAGTGATGGCGCTGTAATTTGAGTGTAATTAAGAGTATGTGTAACCAAGCTGTTAATAAATCCAGTCATCCTAATTAGAGCCCATCATTTCATCACGCGTACCCTCCTGCATGTGACAATACCTACTTGAAGTGATATTTATGTGCAACTTAGGGCATAAAATTCTGGAAGTAATTGCCACCATTTATTTCTTAGGCTATCTTTCTCTCTTCTATCCAATAGGGTAAAAATTAAGACACTCAAAAGTATAATTCTGCAGGAGACATACGTGTGGATGGTAATGCTAAAATGGGTCTGGAGGAAATGTGATGTGGAGTTATGTACTTGATTCAGCTGACACATAATAGTGTCTGGTAATTTTCTTTTGTGAATATGGTGATTAATCTCCGTTTTCCAATAAAAACAGGTAATTTCTTGACCAGCTGATTAGCTGTCAACTTTTCAAGGAAGACCCTACACCATATAATTAATGTGTTAGTCAACAATTATGGATGAGAAACAGCCATGGCATATTTTAAGGCATTATTTGATGCTGTGTGGGAAAAGCCTGTAAAGTTCCATTTTACATTCTGAAGACAATGCACATGCTCTAGGTATTGTCTTGCTGCCCTTTTCAGATTGTAGGTGGCGTACCTCTGAGCTAGATAGAAGTGTATTGAGACTGAAGCTGCCTCAAAACTCAGTCTTTGTGTTATTAATATCATAGCCTTCTCTAAATAGACTGTCTTTCCTTTTTATTGGTGATACTGAAAGGCACTGCTTAGATAGGTATAATGGTAAGACTGTGTAATTTTGTTTGGGAAATATCAGCTTTGAATCTTGTCTGGGTTGCTGACTACAATGACTGAAATTTTTCATGGTTTTTATGGGTTCCTCCAAGTGAATGCTGGAATGATGAGTTGAAAGAGGCCATGAGTGATGCCTTTGAAATGATTTCCTTCTCACCATTCATGTGATCTTGTTCTCATTTCATTCCATACAATGTAAGGTCTGTCTCTGAAACAACATTTTAAATGACATATGAATCAATTTGAATATAAATGTACGAGTACAAGCATACCAATTGTGTTTGTCTACTCAAAATATCTACATGAATTCATTATAAAGATTTCAAAATGTATGCCTCGGAATTATTGTAGAACTTCTCTGTAGGTATACCACATATGTTGTCATATCAGTAAAGCATTCTGTTTTATGGTCTTTATAGTTGTCAAAGTAGTTAATGTCATACAAGTAGAAGGGCATCCTGAACTCATCAAATTATGCCACTGGATTAATAGAATCTTGACTAGATCTCATTCAGCATGCTAACTCCTGTGTTTGTTGCAGGCTTGTAAGTATGCACTGAGACAGTCAAGCCCTCTGTTAGGAGCAGAGAGGATCAACAAGATGATGCAGGACCACCTGAAAGATGCTGGAAGTTTGCATTATCCAGACTTCATGGCTGATCTTGTGAAGATAATTGTAATTTTCTTAAAAACTTCATTCAATTTTCTGTAGATTCCTCATTCTCTTTAAACGTTTTCTGTAAAATATAATATAAAATTCTTCTTTCCTCCCATTTCTTTCCATCCTGCCTGTTTTTTTTACTAGAACACTATATGGTTTTTTTGCATAAACAGCGTGTCAGTCTTCTTCATAAACAGTTGCTAAAGCAAAGTTAATCACACTACAGAGGCATAAATTTTTGCCTTCTATATTATTAAATATGTAACATAAAAGCACATGATTAAACAAGATTTGAGGTATTCAAGTTGGAGACTGTAAAATGTCCTGTCTGCTGGGATGTTACATCATGTACCTTGGCAGACATTTGCCAATGTTTTGTGTATGTTCAGAGTATGCTCTTCCAAAACGTCCGTAAAATTTTACCAGGCTATATGGTGTAACTTCCCAGAAGATGGTACTCTTCATGTGTGAATAAAAGTTACAGATTTCAGTTCAGTCTCTTTTTTAAGACGTTTGGTAATGTTAAACATTTCATGTCAAGTATATCATTGTAATGGTCCAACTAATTGCATCTAGAATTTGTTTGATGCTTATTTCAGTACATCTCCCTCGCTTCAGATTTCATAAAATTATATCAGGTGGTTTGGAATATGATGTGCAGACAGTCATAATCTTCCAATTATGCACTTTGCTCAAATAGCAGAGAATTTTATTAACACTAAACTGGAGCTTCAGAGCATAGAAAGTAAAGACACTTTAACAAGTTACTCCATTTTGTTTTGCATTCTGCAGGTGCTCATGTAATAAATCTCTGGCATACCTTGTCTTGGTCTTAAGCATGTAGCAGAGTATAATAGCAACTGGCTATTTTCTTTTGAACACTGCCCTCTTCCTTGAATTTCCTACCCACTTCTGTGTCAAATACGTATGTTGTGATGCTCTCATTAGCATTTTAGAAGTCCTTTGAATGTAGTAACTGAATTATGATTCTGAATGAGAACAATTTACTTCAGATTCTTTCCTTTGGAGTTATTAGTTATATTAATGAATATAACCCATTGTTAGTTTTACGATTGCACTGAAGTCTGTTATAACAAGAATAACTCGCGAATTTGTCAGTCATCCATCATGTAAGTCTACAGGATACTCACTGAAATTTGTTCTGTTTTAAACTGCAAGTGTTGTGAAGTGGCTCATGTGAATAGGGATCAAGGGAAGAAGCAGTAGTGTAGTGGAGGTATCTTAGTGTACATGAAGCAGGATTCCTACTCTTGAAGTATGGTATAACTGTTATGAGACAATTTTCCTTATACAGCCAGGCAGCAAACTGACCAGCACATCTCTCTCCACATCATCCTACCAAGAGGATTCATCCATCTTATGATACCACCCAAAGGAATGGAATATTGTTTGAGAGTCTGAAAGGGGCGGGAATAGCCTATGATAGCCTTGCATGATGCTATATAGTGGAACTGCACCATGCGGCATCCATCCATGTATAAAAGCGGAAAATGCTGGGGTGGGGAGATACAGTGACAGCTACCCATCTGTGCATATTGAGATGGCTGGGGACAGAGGTTGTTAAATGTCCTTTTGTACATCCATACCCATAATGGATAAAGATATGAGAATGTGCTGTTGTCTTCAGTGCTCATTTGATTTATGATGAATAAAACTTAATAAATAAGCCACGTTGTCAAACACATGTTCATGTGAATGCAGAAATCTAAGAAAGGTACTCATTGTAATAGAAATGGTTATTCTTAGTCCTCCTTGTTAGAACTGAAGAACATTTTTATGCTTAACATAATTAGATTGATTGTGCATAAGAAAATGCTCATTAAAACAAATTTCTTATTATAAGCAATACTTGTTACATCAGACTTCTGCTGTACATATTTGTTATATAGAGTCATATACTTTTATTTATTGGGTACTCTGGTTTTTCTTCCTTTTTTCCTCTATCTCCCTCCTCCATTTCCCACTGTCTGACTTCCTTCCATTCCACCTTCCTTTCTCCCTTTATTCCCTCTTTCCCCACTAACTACTACCTTCCTTCCTTGTCCTGACCACCTTGGCTACTTCGTAATTGTTGTTTGGCCCACAAACACTCTCTTAATATATTAAAAGATTTTGAGATCTCAGGTACTGTGGTTCTGGTTCTTTTGACTGTTTTCCTTCCTACAGTTCTGGTTTTTAGGTGAGTTGTTACAGAGACAGTAAATATGGTGAAGTCTCAAGGCATCAATTTAGATTTCTAAATTGTTCTCATACAGTTCTTTGTAGCAGTTGCAACCTGTATAAAGGGATTGTATTTAATTTTCCAGGACCAAACATTTTCATTGTAAATAAAGGGATAGGTTGAGGTTTTATGTATCTTAATTTTATATCTTCTCATTCTGTAGATTATTACTTTATTCTTTCATGAATACAGCCTTCTGAAACCTCTGCCTTCTTTAATCTAGGTTGAAGAGTTGGCTGAAATTACTCCAACTCTTGTGATGAATGCACTTGTGTACATCAAGAGTTCATGGCCAGTGATACGAGGAAATGCAGCCATGTTTATTGGTAAGGTTTTGAAACCAAGCACCAACCTAGTAACAGGTAAAAAAAAGAATCAGAAATGCTTAAGTGGACTTAATGTGGTTCAGTCAATTGAAAATGTCTGGCAATGTCGGAAACCTTTGGATTGCCCCCGTACGACCACATGCTATTCCTTTCTCACCATAAACTTTTTGTATCATGACATGTTTTTGTACCAGATTACTCCAAGTGTGGAAGTGAAGCAAGGTGAAGGTAGGTAAAATGGGACAACAGACTATTAGCATTCCCAGGGCCCTCTTAACCTCCATTTCAGATCATCACAGGTTTAAGAGAACAAAGCAATAACAGAAATAGTGGTACTGTAGAAATAGGATCCAGTGGGCTAAGCTTGGTATGGTTACCCATTCACATTGTGGTAGTTTACAGGGGTGAGGCTTAAAAATAATACAAAACAGATAATAAAATGAAAACAGAGCAATTAGCCCAAGAGGTGGGGCTAGACATATATATATACACCACAGGGTTCCACCAGGTGTGAGTGAACCAAAAGAAAACTGCCAAGAAAGGGGTACCACGTGATGATGTATGCTTCCAGCATCCTCCTTTTTAAAGTATGGTTCTGTTCATACTTTTGTTACTTTTTAAATGGCCCTTTCATGCTTATATTATTTTTTAAATGGCCCTTGAATGTTGAAATAGTGTACAATATATGGGTCAATGCTCACTAGTATTGTAACATCATGGAAGAGAGAGTTGTTATTAGGTTATGGCACAGTAAACAACTCATCAGCATAACAACAGTTGCACATGCAACAGAAGAATGGTGTTCTCTGTGTGGTTCTTGCTGAGGTTACATAATGAGGAACAGCTGCCATTAAGAGTCAGTCTTGAGGCAGCAGTTAGAAGAGCAGGAGGATAGTGTGAGATGGCCCCCAGTGTGTGAGGACATGAGCCTGGGAGCAGAGTAACAGTCTCTGTTGGAAGATGTTACCCAGCAGTGCAGTGAAGAACATGACTGAGAACACTACTCTTTGTGTGAAAGTGATTTGTAAAGAGTAGTTACGAGTTGTGTATTAAGTGTCCAGTAAATCTGATTACCAATCTGAGCCCCGTCTGTAGTCACTCCATCATGTGACAGTATCACCTTATCTACAGTAGCTCTTTTGGATGTGAATAACAGGATACAATTGTGAGTTGTAGTCTGCCAGAAGAGGAGTGGAATGACATTAATGCGTTCCTTGATTTCAGGTAAATTGGTTAAAATTATTCAGGTTACAATCATTTAACCTGAGATTTCAAGTATTGAAGCCTTCTAACACACTTAAGCAAGTAGCAGTGCATGTAATTAAATCTTGTACTTGTTTCTCTGTGAAATTCTTCCTTTGGAAATTATTTGTGTGTTTTATTGGATTTTCAGGTCATCTATATGGAAATCTACCTGACTTTAATAATGTAAACAAAGTTCAATTGGACACAGTATGTGCTCGTCTCATCCAACTCCTGCAGGATGATGATAAGGAGGTGCGAGCCAAGGTGGCAAAAGCTTTGAGCTATCTTGTTATGGTGTAGCTAATGTTACAGAATTGTGACTGAATTTGAGGAAGTACAAGAACGGACTGAAATTGTAAATTTCATTCCCCATAACCAAAAGATAAAGTGCCTGTGATATGAGAATTAGCTTAACTTTGTTTCACCAGGTAACCCAACAGGGTTAATTTGTTATATTAGTTTTCTGTTTATACTTTTATAAAAAACCCAATACTTCCAAGTTGTTCCTTATATTCAGTTATATTTTTTGTATAATACTGGCATGTTTTTTCAAGATCTGCTTTAGTAGATGTCTAGAATAATANCACACACACACACACAGCCTTTCAATTAATATAAATGTAACTGCAATTTGTTATAGTAGTTGAGACATGGACAAGTGTTGGTTTTATGTTTCTCTGCTACTGGATTGGAAACAAATGTTTCAGTCTCAATACCATATTTACTAAAGTATAAGATGGTGATGGAATCTGCCTTCTCTTTATTTCTATGCATTTTGTTCATATGTGTGTGCATGCATGGGTGAGGGAGTGTGAGAGAGAGAGAGAGAGAGAGAGACTGGAATTTTGATACAGGTAATACATTTGTTTAAGGCCGTGGTTTCATTTCTTTGAAGATAACTTTATGTCAGATACAGTGATCATGTATTTTTTGAGGTCAGGTTGAATGATTACAGGCATTTACAACTGCATCTCCGTTCTCCCTTCAACAGAGATCTAAGAATTGTAAACTGAAAAGTAAGCAGAAAATAAGATCTGTATTGTATAATACCAGGTTAAATTGCTTAACAAGATGAAAAAGTGGGTCATCACTTGATTGGTGTACAGATTAAGCTCTTAATGTTGTATGGAGATATGAAACTAAGCTAATAGTTTCATGTGGAGAAAGGAAAAGTGAATGAATTGTATGTTAACAAGAATCCTTATATAATATGTAGAGAAATAAACAATAATAAATAATAAATAAATAATCTTTCAAGTTTAAAATTGTTTGTGTTGTACTAATATAAACTTTTGGTTACCGAATATTTCCATCATATTCTGATCTCACAGTCATGAATTAATTCAAAGCCCAGTTCTTTCTCTGTATGTTACTTGGAGTGTAACTCATGATCTTCCTTCATATGATATATAATGATGTGAATTTTTTAAAGTTAAAGTTAAGTCTGAAATTTTGAATGAAATCCCATTCTCCTTGTTTCCTGTTACATGACGATCCCTGTTTTCAAAAGTGTAAATTCAGAGAAAATTACTTTTCCAGTTTTAAAGCTCTTCTTTTAGAACAAACAGTCTGACCTGTTCCACTGCCTGCCTCATCTTTGTATATTTCTCGTATGCTGAAACAGCATTTGTTTCCAAACTTGAGCCCCAATCACAATCCACTGCTTCATGAATCTGTGTTTCCAGAGTTTGTCCATTCATTTGATTATTCATGACTCACAAGATCAAGAAACTGTATCCATTATATTCCATGTGTTTCTTCTAATACTGTCAAGTAGTATCCAAACACTTCTGTTATAGTGTATGAGGCTCTTTCCTGCTTTGAGGTAACTTTCAGATTTATTTTACTCAGTAACTGTGCCACGCTGTTTTAGACAAGTATACATGAAACAGGCTGTGTTGACTGTTTTACACTGTCTGTGATGTTGAGATTTGTTTGTGATTACAAGACCTCAGATCTTTCAGATGACAACTTATGAAAGAACATACAAGTTATATATATACAGTGCGTACAATCAAGTGCGCGCCGCGGCTGCAATTTGCCGTGAGTCATACCACCGCAGAACGGATGCAGTCGCGGGGAGGAGTTGCAACTCTCCCCGCGACTGCATCCGTTCTGCGGTGGTATGACTCACGGCAAATTGCAGCCGCGGCGCGCACTTGATTGTACGCACTGTATATATTGCCAGTAGTTCATTACTGCAAGTCAACAGAGGCATTAAATTTATGTCTGCTGCTGCAGTTTTATCTTATGTTTGGTGTACTCTTACTACATATGCATATTATAAAATTTTAACTAGCATTTTTAACATAACTTAGTACAAAGATATATAATACCATTGCTCTTGTTTTGTTTCCCTTTAATGTTTGTAGGGAACTGATGTCTTGATTTACCTGCTTTATAGACAGCACCACATAAAAACACTTTTTTTTAATAGATTAACTTGGATTTGTTTTCCATGTTTACTTAAAATATACTGTACTTTGAAGTTTATTTGGACTGAAAATATTTTGATAATGTTGACATAATTTTAGGTTGGAGTGGGGTGTACAGTTCTATTGCTGTCAATTCTGACTTGTAGAAAAATGCATTACAGTTGGATTTTTAATATAACTGTAGCAAATATTTGTGGTTTGGAAGCCCTCGTAACATCTTAATCATAACATAACATCTTTGACATAGAAGAGCAGATATATTCCTTTTGTGTGCAGTTTGATGTCTTAGTACAGTGAAACCCCATTTAAGGTTTGTTCAATTAGTGAATTTGAACATTACACTGAGAAAGCCTTAAATGAAGGAAATTTTGGGATGAATGAAATGGAATGATATATGAGGGAAATCCCAAGTGGAGGAACATTAATTGGGCATTCCACTGTATTGTTAGGACTGTGAATTGAATGAACTTTAATACTGTTAAACTACAAGTTCTTTGTTCAATGAGAGGTCATCTTTACCTGATGTGAGATAAGCCAGGTTTTCATCTAGCATTAACTTGCACAAAAAGTAAGACAATTTTCTCCTTATTAATTTTGGCAGTTGGTATTCGTTTGATAATTAAATCTCTGACCTGAAGTTTTACCTGCTTGGTATATATGTTGTTCGTAATACAGTATGCGCCAAAAGATACAGTACTGAAACTCGTGCATCTCAAATGCACATGTGCATTTGTCAATGGGGCATAGCTCCAGTCGCACGTGTTCCCAGGAGTGAAAAGGAAGTTGTGTTGTGTAGTTGTTGTTGGAAATGGGTCTCTCAACGGAGGGAAAAGTAGCCATAGTTGAGCATTATTTCCGCTCGTACGGAAGTGGTCGCCAGACAACTCGCTTCCTTGGTTTTGAGCGGCCAGATGTTATCGTCCAGAAACCGCTACACAGTACACGTGTGACGATATGGTGTGCTATCTCAGCACATGGTATATTAGGCCCCTATTTCATTGAGGATGAGGAAGGCAATGCGCTTACCGTCACCCAAGAACGCTACAGGGACATGGTGATCGGACCATATCTTCAGGATTTGAGAAGGTTCTGTCATGCAAGGGGCCTTTGCATGAATAGACAGTGGTACCAACAGAACATCTTTTCATTTCAGTACTGTAAGTTTTGGCGCATACTGTATTAGATACATGAGGGTGCCATTAAGCAGAGACAGCAGTTCGTGTGGAGAACATGACCTACAGCAGACAAAGAGACTTGATGAGGTAGATGAGGTAGGTGAAGTATGTCCCATTATTATGAAAGGTTAAGTAACACTTTATGTACATGTGACAGCACAGTTGTTTCATTGGTAAGTTTAAAATCCCAATACTTTTCTGTCAGAAAAAAATATTGTCATCTGTGGGTGTAAGCAGAAACTGTGCAACCTTGGCATACTCACATTTTTGGTTCATGCCCATGAGACTCACTTGTTAAGGGCCTATAGAAACATACTGTACAAGGAAAATCAAATTTTATAGGCATTTTTTATTGGAGATTCTATGTAAAAGTGTCTTCATTTGTTTTTATGCTGAGCCTGTTTTAAAGACAGGCATAATTTAAACAAATAATATTGTATAACTTGCTATATCTGCTTTAATTATAGGGATATTAATAGGATTTCTAATGATGTTTCAGTTCAATTTGTATTGGAAAATGCTTCAACTGTAACTGTTCTTTTTTTCTAGTTTTAGGAAATGTGAAACAGAAGTGTGATGCTTAGTTGTAATATTTGATCCACTGCTACTCAGCAAAATGGGCTTTGATGTACAAACGAGCAAATTCTGTAGCAAGCACATGTAAACTTTGTACTGTATGCAGTAAAGTGAAACTGTTTCATGATGAATCAAAAAGTTTGAAAAAGAAATTTCAAAAGACCGGAATAATGGATTGCAAACACAGTTAGTTGAAATGGATTTAGAATGTTATTAATTTCATATAATGTGACTAGTAGGATGTAACTCTTGTCAGCAAGCTAACTCTGAGAAATAAAAGCCTCATAACATTCCTGAAGATAAAAGAGTGTTTCTGCTTTTAAGACATTGTCGGTTCTTGGTACCAATTACATGTTAATCGTTCATGTTATTTTAGCTCTTTTCTCTGGAGCAATATTTTGAAGAGTTCTGCATTGTGAACTGCGCAAAGGTGGAATTACAGTTTTTCTAAGCCCCAAAATCCACTAATTAAATTTTAGGTAAATGATACCAATAAAACAAAGCCACATTTTGGACAAAGGAGTGAATATAGCTTGAGGTACAAAGTAAATTGTATTCTGAGCTTCTACCAATGGTATGGTAGATCAGAGTCTCTGTCATTGAATTGAATTTATTTACATTCTATAAATCCTAAGCAGGTTAGTACCTTTGGATACAGTATTATATTTAAGCATCCTGTTGCACTCTACACGATAAATGATACAAACTCCGTCCTAAGTGCAAACAATATATATTTATATGTCTCTGATCTTGTTCTTTCTACACTACATGTTTCGGCCTCTATCGGCCATCATCAGGTGTATACTCTTAACGTTGCTGCCACACTGAACCCAGTCTAAAACTTAACATTTAAAAACACAATGTCACATTCTTCGTATTATCAACATCTACATCGTTGATATGTGTCTGGTATGTAGATTATGTTGCACACGTCAAACCCGATATTCTTGTAGTAGCACTCTA